CTAAGGCTTTTCACAGAAGTACTGAAGTCCTCCAGCGTCCTTCCTGTCACGGCCCTCCTAAAACTAGCTGTATCCCAAGTGCCCTTCCCTTCCCAGCCTCCAGGAAGCCTTTTACAGCCTATATTGTCTCACCTATGTGGATGTGCTTCTCTCTGGGATCTTTCTGTACTCATTTAAGAGTGGGAAAATAATTTCCTCGTAAGAAATTATATAAACTTTACTTGTAAATCCCTTGTGACTCACCACCCTCATCAGCAAATTTCTGTTACCATTTTTTATGTTAGATACAATTTAAATTATATATACATGTGTACTAGGCTTCTGCTATGCAAAGGATTTCCAACATACTGAAGCAAAACCTGATAACTGCTTAGGACTAAGCAGTATTATCTGATTTTTTTTAGTATCTCAAGAACAGTAATCGTACATTACTCTGCAGTAAAGCCATTATATAATGACCCATCTGTGGACGAAAATTTCCCATGAACCTAGCGGTAAAGACATGACCCACTTTAGCTGCCTATCATTTCCACATAAGGAAGAAGAGCATGGCTATAATGCCCAAAACTGCCTCTCCAGGCAGGCTGATGAGAAGTAGAAGCACATGGATGGATACTGGCTTGCTTGAATAACATTTAGCATGGGTAGGCTGCAGTGTTATTGTCTGTATCTGTTTAGATTTACTTCTGTGGTCACTGAGGAGTAGCAGAAGCATATAGTGTCACGTGCAATTACAGAATCCATCCCTCTCCATGTGGGAGGAGGCAGCACAGCTTTCATTAAACATTTTTTTATCCCAAGCTAAGAACTGTACACAACCGATCAATAAACTGGAAAGTAAAACATATCTTTTATTCAAATTAATAAAAACTCAAACTGAAGTATAAGCACAAAGGGTCAGATTGTGATGTCCTTATGGCCAGAGAACAGCACTAAATGTGGTTTGGTGGAAGCGCATAGTGGACACAAGGGAGCTAGGAGGTTAGCCAGTGTCAGTAAAGCACCACAGTCAGAAAAAATCACAAGAAAAAATAAAAAGAGAAAGACAGTTCCATACTGCCAGGGTTGCATGGAACCAGGTAGGTTTTCCTCTGCTGAGAAATGTTGCCTAATATTTGGTTCTTTGGTACACTGAATCCTCTCTCTCAACAGATTTTCACAAAGATACAGCATTTCAGATTAACCCACCTGAAGCTATATATGTTCCTCTGTATTTTTGTTATGTGCATGCATGTTATATAGAACTAAAAGGCATATACTACAGAGCATATAATAGATGTTTTCAACTTTACAGTGTCCAGAATAGCCTGTAGAAAAACAGCAGTGACCCAAGCCAGTAAAAGGTAATGGATTTCTTCTGCACTTGCAGAACATGGAGAAAGGATGCAACTTCTCAAAACTGAAGTGGCTCTGCAACTCTTGTTTCCTTTGCAACTGCCTGAGTTTCTACGAGCAGGTTGACTTACTTCTTACTTGTGCCTCTTGCAAGGCAACTACTGGAGCTGCAGTACGAGGTATTCTTCGAGTTGGCTGTACTTTCAGATGATGACAAGATTTTGGTTTGTTCGTTTCAGGGGGTATTTTTTGTTTTGCAATTTCCCTCTTTTGGCTTGCAGGTAAGATTAATAGCTTGCTTTGTTTTTATGCAAGAGCAATTATTCATTTCCTTTCTGCATGAAAACTTTCATGTGCTCTTTGGTGGCTGCTTTCCTTTTCAGGATGCTGGTTTAGATTCAAGATGTCCTAGCAATAATATTTCAAATATTCAATTGCTGATCAGCGGTTAGAAGACAGAGGGCACTAAGGCTAGATGCAAGCTGCAGTACTGATGGGGAAAAATAGCTGAATAAACAACACCGACAATCACATACTTGCTCCTATGTGAGCAAGATACACACACACAACCATGCAGAGAGGATGGACTGGTGAATCTCTCCCTTGATGTGTATCTTCCCACGGAGAAGGCCTTGGAGTGATTATTTGCATGGCTTGATAAAACTTATCTGTTTGAGGAGCTATTCTCTTTAACCAAGAGATGTTAAAGCAGGCCCTTAATACACAAACAGTAGACGATGTTAATCTCCTTTGTGCTTATTTTATGTGAAACTGACTGCCTTCCTTTTGTATGTCAATGATAGACATCCTCCTTTTCTACCCAGCCCACTATGCACCACCAGCAACTGCCGGTATTGCCCCTCAGGGTAACTGATTCATTGAGGAGTCATTTGAAACTGAGTCCCACAAGCTTTCTCCTTTGCCACAAAGCATAAAGTCTGATTTATTTTCATGACCATGCATAACTGCAAATATAATTGTCCATGACAAAAAAAAACCTCCTAGCATCCAGCCCAGCTTTCAACCCTGTAGCCATTTCTGAAGTGCAAGCCACACGTATTTACAATTCTGCTGCTCGAAAGCAGAGTTTTGAAGTCAGCATGTCCTTCTGGGTTACAGCATACACAACACAAAAAAGCCTTTCCTAAAGCTTAACCCTTTCCTAAGACAAAGTCCCCAAGTGAAAAAAGCCAGCAGGAGACCTTAAAAAAAATAGGTCTGGGACACACAGCTGAAGTTCAGTTTGTCTCTGATAATAGCTCCAGAAGCATGCCCCATGTTTCTAAGCCTGTGGAAAAGCAATTATGGACACCAAAGTTTTGGGGTGATAGACTTGAAGGCTTGGCAGACATGGCTGGTTAGCAGTAAGGTACTCAGAGGTTGTACAGAATGAATCTTCACATTCAGTACAGTGCAGCTCCCTGTCCCGTTGCTTACAGTGCACTTTGCAATTGTATCTGCAGTGTCTCTTGCATGAACAGGAATACTCTTATTTCCACAGATGAGGAAATTGCCTCACAGAGGGGCTGAATGATTTTCTCTCAGTCACGTAAAGTCAGAAACAGACCGCAAAAACATCTGATTCATCTTCCTGGCTTGAATCATGAGATGGCAGTTCCTTGGGATGAAGAAAATAGGCCACTTTTTCAATAGCAGGTCATAATTGCTCCACCACAGGGAAGATTGTGAGGCCATACTTATTTGAAACCACTGACATCATTTTGAGAGGTTAATGAAAAGTGAACCATCATTATGAAATGGTTGTTCCGGTCTCTGTTCTTTGTTCTGTCATTAGGACTACAATCCTCTGCACCTTTCTGAAACCATGGCATTTTTCTTCCTTTTCTTAATCTAAGAACTTCATCCACAGGTTCTATAGATAGGTTTGCAATTTTAGATAAATGGTTTTGTGAGGGGTCTTAGAGAATAAATGCAGTGGTCAGATCTTACTGCCCATATATCTGCTTCCAGAACCTAGCATAATTTATCACAATAGTGTTAATTCCTGACGAAGGCCAACATTTGACTAACCAAGTTCTTTGACAAACTCTGAGGAAGACTGTACAGAATACAGTATCACCTTTCTTTCCTTAAGTGCTCAATTTGAATTAGATTTCAAAGAATGGGGGGGGGGGGGAATAAAGAAAAAAAACCTAAACCCATGACCTAAAAAGGAAATAAAAGGAAATGAGTAGAGCAAGGGGAGTTTTTAATAGCATGGAGATCCAGTTCTTCAAGTAGAAAGTAGTTTAATCAATTTTAAAATATTTAAACTAGGAAATATTTTGTAAGAAATATTTCAGATAGTTTCTTTGATTAAAAAAAAAAAAAAAATTGCCAAAGGTGTGTGATGGAAAGCTGGAATAGTTCAATACCAGGACGGCTAGGGATTCCTAGTGGGCTCCTGATTATTTTCTCAGCCAATGCTTTCTAGAATTTCCTGGGTCCAACTTTTTTCTACTTCTGTTGTTATTTGCACAGTAAGCACAAGGAGTGAGCATGCTGGGTCAAGGAGACTATGGAGGTGACAGAAGCAGTTAAGCCTCCAGGGAGGTATCAGCATATGGAATGGCACCAGGAAACCAGAGCACTTCCCAGAGGAAAGCATCACCAGCCAGACAGAGAGGAAACAGGGAATGTTTTTGGGGACACTGGTGTTTTCCTTGGTTGAGCTGACCAGAACTGTGTTAAGTTCTTTGTATCTGAGAGGTGCTAGATACCTAATTTTCACAGCAAAGAAAGATAGCTTTGGGCCTTGTATACTGACCCCTGCCTTGTACTTGTTATTGTGGGTCTCTCTTTCCTTCCCATTTTTGTTTTTCTTCCCCTTCTCTTTTATTTCTGAGGGAGAGAGAGCAGCACCATTTCTGTTTCAGAAACTCCAGTCTTTGAAACTCATAGCAGTTCCCCTAGACTCTAGATTCCTAAGAGAACAAAATCAGGACAGTTATCTGGTATTCAGTGGGAGTAGATCAAGGAGACAGATTACAGTCTGGGGAGCTGCAAAAAGCTCTTTCTGTCTCTGTGCACATAACTATGCCCCTGACTGATCCCCAGATGCTGTGGGAATCTGTTTGCAAACTTAGCTATTCAGATGAGAAATAGGCAAGGAATGGAAGAATTACAACAAGATCACTGTTTTGCCTCCTTCCACCACGAAGAGAGGGTCTTCATTTCCAGGGTGTGTAAGCTGTCCAGAGGATAGACTTACATTCAGAAGAGGCCACAGAAGAGTAATGAAGGCTAGTTTAGCTATGAGAGGTTGTAGTCTGAGGCTCCACTGGCATGTGAAGTAACAGCAGTGGCCCTACCGTTTCTGGGACATGTTTTCCTCTTCGTGTTTTGGTTTCATTTCTCATTGAGTGTGTTAAGGAGGAAAAATTTGGACACGGCTCAATTGCAAGTAATGTGTTTTATTCACACATGCACCCATGAGTCCTGGTGATTTCTACAGTGTAAGAAAAAGAAAATTGGTCAAGGTCCAAAGCTAGTAAAAGAAGTGCAATGTTATAACTTTGTACCATTGGAACAATTGGTGGAAAATCGTCCCAAGAAAGTATAACTTTCCTGAAGGAAGGGTTTTCTTTTACAACATCCTGTAAGTTCTTCTAGTCTAGGGACTATAATGGAAAAGATTTTAAGGAGGCATTAAAGAAATAACTCACCTGTCAAATGTAATGCCATTTGTCTTGTAATCACTGAATTCAGGAGCCTTCTTTGCTTGCTAAAGGTTTCTTCTGGGTTCAGTTATTTTGGGGGATGAAGTCATCTACATTAGGCATCCACAAAATGATTGAGTCATCTACATTTCCCAGAGCCTTTTCCTTCGCCACCCTGTGGCACATTTGCTGCCTGGTGAGACAGTAAAGAACAGCTGGCACAAGTGGAATAGAAATCTCTTGCATGCCACCATAGGATTGTTTCTGTTTTCTTGCTTCCAGATGCGGGGTGCCACATTTTGGGGTTGCCATTGGAAGCTAAGTGCTCAGCACTCTCAGCTCTTCAGCTGAACCTAATGCTCACCTAATGCTCAGTCTTTAGCTCAGGCAAAACAGCCTGGAGGATCCAGACACCCTGCTGAACTGTAATCTCTCATGATGCTGCAGGAGCAAACTCCTTTAATATAGAGTTCTGTCATGAGGTTTTTTGTTTTCTACACTGTTTGTCACTCAGGTATCTTTTATTACTTCCATTTGGTCTTTGCTCAGAGTTCACCCCCTTCCTGTTATTGTAGTGCTAATCAGAATTAATATATTTCAAAAGTGTCCCTTTAAACACCTTAAACAATTTCTGAACTGAGTATCATATCCCATGAGCAAGCACAGATGTTTTTAAATAGTCTAGAGGTATATGCTAACCTGTAAGTGTTACCAAATGTGTTGCAATACCATGAGTTAGTCTCAGGGGCTTGTCTGATGGTCAAAAGGTTTAAAAGAAAATATTTATCTGGTTACATCATAATTGCATTTTTCAGAAGTGCTTTGGAACCAAGCCTAATATATAGGATTAGTCAGGTCCAAAAAGTGCTCGCTCACAGGAGAGTCCAGGCTCTGGTTTAGGAGAACCAGTGAGCCGCCTTCTTCATGGTGGTGTTGACAAGCTCTCTCAGTAATGGTGCTTATAGGTATTTTTTATTAGCTATGGTTGGAATAGGTTTCACTTACATGTGGTTACTCTGATTTCCTACAGAGCTTCTCTGCTGCCTGACTCTGTTAATGTGCTGAAATATGGAAGGGGAAACACATCCTCTTGTGTGCTCTCAGTATGTGGCTGCTCACACATGGAAAGGGGTTCTGCAGTGCCAGAGATGCCTGACACATGCGTCTGCCAGTCCCTGACACTGTGCAAAGTTGATTTCTGGAGAGACTGGGGAGCATTGAGGGCTGACAAGTGGATGTAGAAGTCGGGGCAGTCTGGAGTGTGGGAAGAAATCTAGCTGGTACAAAGGGAGAACTGAGACATCTCCCTGCCTTTGACGCATCCATGATGGAGGATTTGGGGAATGTTTAGAGGATATCTGGATCTGCTAATCTTTTTCATGCCTTCTGTTTTATTTTCACTTTCAATATGCAAACCCGATTTTTCCTGCAGGAATGGTTTTGGGACAGCTTGCACTCCAGTGACAGCAGTCTTCTTTGCTATTTAACTATAATTCTTTACCAGCTTTTAGATGGTCCAAGGAGGGGGCAACATTCCCTCAAGGTACACTTCAGCTGTGAAGCAAAGAAGGGGTATGTGGTAGGTGGAAGATGGAAGAAGAGGTTAACACACAGAAAAGAAGTGTTACTCCCTTGAGTTTTAAGGTACAAAGGGAATAGTGCTATACCGTAAAATGAATTTACATCCCTTCATTCATTTTCACTGTAATATAAAATGCTCTAAATGTCTCTGTGCTTCTCTTCTTATTGGAAAGCACATAAAGAAGAACATCAAATGATTAAAAGTGCCCTGGTGCACTAAATAAATAACAACAATAAAAAGGGGGGGGGGGAGCAGGGGAAGGCCAAATTTAACACAGTAGAATCATTTTGTGATAAACTAAATTAATTCTTTAGTATGATGCATTGATGTGTGATCACAAAATCTCCTAATCTGCTGTTAGGAGATTTTGTGCTGCCTGCTCCAACATTATAAAGACCAACCAGAGCATGGTTGGTTACCCACATGTTTAAGTAGTTGCAGAACAACAAGCTTTTGGGTTTGCTGGATACTTAGGGTGCTTCAGTCTCCCTGTTCTTAGACTGGAAAGAATCATACATAGACCCTGGGAGTTCAATGAAAAAATAATGGGACACACACACACATCCTAAATGAGACTTGGATCTTGCTTAGGCTTGACAGTATCCAAATAGAAAAGCATATAAGCCTTTTGCATACTTACTAAAGCCTCCAGTACATAATTCATCCCTTCCACTTTGCTCAAATGTAGTCCTTTCTCACATCATCAGAAAGATCAACCGAGTCTTTCTTCAGGAGACTTGGTTTTGGGCTTGTTTCCTGGGTTTGGCTGTAACAGTTATTTTTCTCCTTCTTAGTAGGTAGTGTAGTGATGTGTTTTAGACTTTATCCTGTGTTTTCTCGCCCTGCAACAGCACTTTGTTTCCTGCAATGCAGGTGAGTTAAAGGGTTACCTCTGTGATCCAGTGTAACCAGTGCTGAATACCTTCCTCAATAACCACTGTAAGGTGTCGATAAGGTGATGTGTCTGCTGCTCTGTGAAAAATAGAAGATTTGTTCATTCAATATCATATGTTTTAGATAGAAGACCTTATTTGAGATTAAGTAATTAAAATGTAATAATTCCATCATGAATTTCCCTTTTGATACAGTGGTGTCTGACTTGTGCCCCCTACATGACAGCAGACAACATCTTTGATAGCAAAGAGGGTGGCTGATCACAGAATTCAGTGGAAAGGTGGAGCAATCTGAGTGTTATCAGGCTGAGCAATTCAAAGGTAAAATATCCATAACTGTGAGTTGGAGATTACAGAATTGTCCTGCTATCACAATGCCTCACTACTGTTAATAGGAGGAACAGTTTGATCAGGAACCTCTAAGAAAAAATAAATTCACAGGCAAAACTTCTCTCTGAAGGACTACTGGTGGCTTTGGCAAATGGGCTGGGGCTTAGCATGCACTACGAAGAGCAAAAGATGACTCTTCCATACCAGGTTTAGCTGAGCCAGTGCTCTGTCTGAGCAGTGCTGCAGGGAGGAACACAATCATACAGGTAAAAGAGCTAATGAAGCAATGGTTTGTAGACTGCTGTAGGCCTGGGGTTTAGAAGAGCAACTTAAAATTAATACTTGGGCAAGAAAGTCAGTTTCTGGAAGGAAATCGCAGGTTCAGGAAGAGCACAGAAAGCACTGGAGAAAGAGGTGGCAATGGCATGTTTGCCTCTGCACTGGTACAGCAAGCAGTGAGCAGGCGGAGAGGAGCTGTGCGATGAGCTCTGGATAAAGACCATTTTACACCAGCCTCTGTGTGTGAATCCAGCCAGATCATTTTACTTTTCCTGGGCTTTTTTCTCCTTCCCACTATGGAAATGCGTCTTGCTCCAGGTCTGCATGGTTCTAGCACAGGGGGGCCTCTGTTTTTCTGGGGGCTTTCAGCACCAGGGCAGGAAATGTTACCTAGCTGTAACAGAAATAACAGAAAGGAGGCCAGGTCCAAGTACAGGCCTGGCAAATTCAGGTAGTTACATAGAGAGAAAGTACAAAATGTCCATAACAATTACTAGGAAGGAGAAGTGTTCACCAGCTCTGAAATCTCTGCCTCTCCTTCCCTGTGTCTGTCCCTTTTCCTCTTGTCATTCGTCTTGTATTGTGCTTTAATTTTTACAGATATCAGCCAACATCCAGCAGCTAAAATTTACATGTGTCATTCCCAAATAACTATAGCTTGCACATGGCTACAAACTGCCTCCCTAGCCCTGTTTCCATGGAAATGGAAGTTAGCAGCATGACAATAAAATCAGAGAAAATCATCAAAAGAGAGCAGTCTAATACCTTTATCTTTCTTCTGCTTAGTAGTAGCAACAAGGCAAATGCTTTTTATCTAGAGCCATTTCCCATGGTGGATCTCAAAGTACTTTCCAAGCGTAACGGTAGTTAGCATCAAAACATCCCCAAGGTAAATAGTACTCCCATTTCATTATGGGCAATCAGACTTTTTTAGTCTTGAAGCTCCCTTCCCAGGTACTTATAGAGCCCTTGTCTCAGACATTTTAGGCACTGCATAGCAGTGTCACATAGCATGTGACATGACAGCACCATGCTAACGTGTTCAGAAATAGACAGCAGGGCTGCCCACCACATCACTTTTCCTCAAGAAGAATCTTCTTCCTAGGTGTAGAAGGAAGTAAAACAGCCTTTCCTGGCTTCCTGGGATTACAGAGTCAAATTAAATACCACCAAAAGGTAACAAAAGTGTCTTTCTTTCCTAATTCCATTCTCAGAAAAAAATCAAATTGAGAAACAGCAAAGCCTTTCAAGCATCTTTAAAACAATTGCCTATACCATGTTCTGACCTTCTTACTTCCATTTCCATGGAAACAGAGGAGGGAAAAAAATGCAGTGAATGGGACAGAGGACAGTTATGCAAGTGTATGTAATAGTTCTTACTAATAGACTCCAGTTTCAGGCTGGGTGCATTTTAAGCAGGGAAATTTAAAATCTGGAAAATATGTAAAGGTGGATCTATCCCCAGTACAAATCTTCACCAGCTAGTGAAATCTCTTCTTTCTTAGCATCACATCATAATAAACTTTATTGCATTGTTTGATAGGTTTCTTCAGCTTCGTTACTTGTTGCACCAAACTTTGCTGTGTAGTCCTATGGGACAAGGTACTATTAGAACTAAATGAACATCACAGTCTTCAAAGAAGTCTCAGATACATTGAAAGTAAGTTTGTCTATTTGTCTGTCTATCTAGCTTTGCATTACCTATGCACTTCTGTTTTCACTGGGCCAAGCCTGTAGCACTGATGTCAGCTGCCATACAGCTCTTTCTTTGCTTTCTGGGGTGATACAAACATTGTAATGAGTGGTACTGTTAGTTCTGGATAGTACTACAGCTTAAAGGGAACACAGTAGCATTCTTTCCTGTGGGTGTTCATTTTACGTGCCCTCAATGAAAATTTGTGTTCACAAGTCTATGGGAGGCAGCAGGTTTGGGTTGTAGGTATCTGGAGCAGAAGACTCCTAACGTCCTTCCTTTGGCAGAGAGATAAGACAAAGCGGTGACAGTGGGTTCACATACTATACACTCTTGTTTATTTTGTGTCATTGACAGCAGTTATGACAGAAAATTCCAGAGCAATCTATAATATACAGATGAAATACT